AACTTCACATGCTTTCCTAATTCCTGAGCTGAGTCATCACAATATTAACAGAGGCCAAGGGATCTCTTTTCTCTGGATAAGGAAACAGGTTGGGCTCTACAAGATGGGGAAAGTGCCAGTCTTCCTTGGAGAAAGGTAGGGGAGTGTGGTTTAGATGACATTGCGCTTTTGCTTTTGAAATTCCATGTCATTAAAAAATGTTCATCATTATTCATGATGGAATACTGACTCTAGAGAGTACAAAAAATAGATTTGAAAATGAAGTCACATGGCCATCTACTGGCAAAAGCAAATGCAGTTTCCTGGAACACCGTAGAGAAGAGTGCTTAAACTTGCAGAAACTTTGTTCCCAGTTCTGAATGCCAGCTGATGTGTCCTGCTTTAGTGACTCATGACTCATTCTTCTGAGGGCTCTTGAGTCTCTGTTGTTCAGAAAATGTGGCCCTGAAAGCTTTTGTGTAGGACTGATGTCTTCCTTAAGCTAACAGGCAGTTTGTCCTTGACCAGTTTTCCCTTGACACAACATACTTAAATGCTACGGCATTTATCATATACGCCTCCTCAAGTTTGAGTCATGCCATGTCTTTTCTCTAACCATTGAAATATTTCAATCCAGCCCATCTGTCTTGTCTGTCTTGTGTACATTCTGCAAAATGTTTCTTGAGCCATGGGATATGGCTTATAATTATTGAAATGTTATGTATGTTTATTTTTGTACAACTACCATAGTAATTATGTGTTTGTTTTTTTTTTATGGGAAAAAGATCACCACATCAGATAGATACGATTAGGGATAGTCATTTAGCATTCACACTGTATTATAAATGTGAAGATAGAAAAATAATTTTCTTTCAAACTCCTCTTATGCTGTTTTTTTTTCTTTATAAAGTTCTGTCAAATATATTATCTCATTAGATTTTCACATCATTTAGTATGGCCGAAATTATTATTTTCATTATTCTGATGAAAAAAACTGAAGTATAGACATCTATAATGCCATGTCAACAGTCCCATGGCTAATGGGTGGTATCAAATCTGTTTCTATCTTTTGTTACCCCTTCCCCTGCCATGTCTTAAGATGAAGTGTTTTAAAAATTGAGATAGTTCTTAATCAAAAAATGGTTAAGAATTTGCTTCAAGCATATAATATTGTTTATTTAAAAATAGTTAAAGCTAATAAATATTTATTAATTGAATGAGTAAATTAACTTGGAGAATGTTTTTGTCAACAATCTTGACTGGTAGAATGTGTCTTGGTTTCTATGAGCTTGTTGCCACAGTAACTCTTAAAAATATAAATAACACCAAAAAATAAAGACGAGACTGAAGCAGATGGTAAAAGAAACAATTGTGGCACTTTCAGAGACTTTTTGGATCTATTGAATTGGTTGAATTCCTAGCCAGGCTTACAGAATTTTCTATTTTTTGTGTTTTATTACACACTGTATTTCACCACAAGGACAAAAATAAGCCCTTAAAAATTGGGATCCTATTTTTAATTCTTTTGTTCCCTCATTACAATCACCTCAGAGCTTGCTACTAGAGTCAAAGGCAATTATAAACTTTAGTACTAGTTGAAGTTACTAATTTAGGAAAGATGATGCTCTAAGAAGCCATTATTTAAAAATATTGGACTTTCTAGATCAATACTGGCAGTTAATTTTCTACTTTGTTCTCTAGCCAGAGGCAGCACCAACTTGTCATAGAATTATGAGTACAAGTTGAACAGAGCAGAAACAATCTCTTTTTACAGTGGCCTGAGTAGCAATGTTGAAGTATAAGTGTATTCTTGATGAGTTATAAACAGAAATGAATAGCAGACTCAAATCAGTGCCTAACAGGCCATTAAAACCTGCCCACAGGCCCTAGGGATTCCATGTACTCTAGCTCTTGAACTTTTTCTCTTCTCCCTCAAGACTTCCAATAGAGTTAGATATGATCTCTTGAGTTCCACTTTACTTTTGAATTCTCAAAAAAAGATGATAGTATTATCTTTTGGTTTCTAGTTTTATTATTTATTACCATAAACAGGGGGCAATTTTTTTTTTTAATTGAGAGGGTTAAACTCCCTAAAGAAGTGTTATCTGGCCTTAACTTCTCACTTTTTTTTCTTTATTGATTAAGGTATTACATACTAGTATGTGTCCTTATCTCTCCATTGCCCTCCCCCACCCACTCATGCCCTCACTCCCTTAATGTCTGTGTCCATTGGTTATGCTTATATGCAGGTATACAAGTCCTTTGGTTAATCTCTCCCCCTTACTCCCACCATCCCCTGCCTTCCCTCTTAGGTTTGACTGTCTCATGGATGCTTCTCTGGATCTGGATCTGGTTTTTTTTTTTTTTCATCAGTTTATGTTGTTCATTATATTTCACAAATGAGTGAGATCATGTGATATTTATCTTTCTCTGACTGAATTATTTTGCTGAGCATAATGGTCTCAAGGTCCATCCATGCTGTTGCAAAAGGTAGGAGTACCTTCATTTGTATAGCAGCATAGTATTCCATTGTGTAGAGTACTACAGTTTTCTAACACACTCATCTGCTGATGGGCAGTTAGGCTATTTTCAAATCTGAGCTATGGTGAATTGTCTCACTACAAACAGGGATGCATATATCCTTTCTGATTGGTGTTTCTAGTTTCATGTCTTTGAAATACTGACTACTGAGTGGCAACAAGTTATAGTGCAGGATAAAATTAAGTCTAAAAAAAGAGGTGATAAGTATAATCTAAGATTCAGGGCAACCATATCAAAACCAAGTAAGCAAAGTAGAATGAGTAAAACTGTTTTTGGGCAGAGTTCAAGAGGAGAGCATGTGGTAAATCTGGTAAAGTAGAAGAAATCGGAATAGAATCATTATCAAGTTGTAAGACAACCATGAAATCCAGGAAATTTATAGGCACTAAGGAGGATGAGGGCTGATATAGAAACAAGATGAAGCATTGGTAATTGATTCTGATACTGAGATACTTAATATCCAACCAACCAGAAGAGCCCTTCTCTGGTCTCATCCTGGAGGACGATGATCCCAAGAGAGATGATGTGAGTGAAAGGTTCCAGGCCAGGATCACCCAAAATATCTGCCTGCTAGTAATACAGGGACCAGTGGTCATGTTTTCTGACTGAGACATTCTTTTAGCATATCAAGTGCTCCTGGTCAGATTTATTCTCTTTGCTCTCATCTTTCTGCATACTGCCATCAAGTGTAGCTCTTACTAGTAAAGCTCCTTGTTGGTTTTAGTAGGCCATGAGTATGGATATTGTTGTGGATTTCCTACATCATGAAAGAGCAGGAGATAAGGAAGAGGCACAGGAGTAGGAGGAAGGAGGAATGAAATAGGAAGACAAGCGGAAAAGAGAGAAAGGAAATCTGGACAATTTAGGATCATGACTCAGACACGGCGTCTCCCTTATGACAGGTGGCTATAGAAATTGGAAACTGCCTGGGCTGTGTTTTTCTATTGTTTACTGGAGGGATATTCCTCTCATATCACACTCAGTTGTGTGACTTCATGCATAATTGAATGTTACTTGCTCATTTCCCCCCTTGAGATAAATTAGAGTTTCTTAAGTGGGAGATGTTTCTGAAAGAGAGAGGGGGGGGGGGAGGGAGAGAGAGAGGGGGGGGGGAGAGAGAGAATTTTCTCAATTTGTATTTCCCAAGTGGTATATATATAAAAGACGACTGAGAAAATATCGATTTAAGAAAGGATTGCAGAGCGACATTTATTCAAGACTCAAAATATTTCAGGCAGTTTATAGAGCAGAGAGATAGATGTAGTCCCTGAAGGCTTAACTTGTGAGCATCAGCATTGACTGAGGAGAGCTAATTTACTGTTTTCCTAAAGGAAATGGGGTGGAGAAGAAGAATTACAGCAAAATGCTTAAACAGAAAGAGAGTCACAACTTTTTATTGAATTATTGCTTGGGATGGTTTTGCACACTTATCAATCATTTTGTGACATTTTACACTCTAACAAGATTTTGGTATTTGGGAAACATCATTTTGAAATTGCCCAAAACTACATTTCTCTCTCTCCCTCTTCCATCAAACTGACGTTGGGTACAAGTTTATGAATCTTGAATGATTTGTCTATTAGCTACAACTTTCTAACGGCAAATTACAGAAGTAAAGGACTTTGGAGGAAAAAAAAGTGGGGGGGAGTCTAGTGTAAAAGAAGGGGAAACTCTTCGGGGGCCTCAGGACAAGAAATGCAGCTGGGCCCTAGGAATATTTCAGAATTTATTCTGGAAGGCCCTCAAATGCCTCTGCTCTCTGGGCCCCCTCTCTATGCACTTTGATTTATCTTTCTTGATCTAAATTATATCTGTCTTTATACAGATTAGGGCTTTCTCCTAAATTGACATATTATAATTTCAACCTCCCAGAGTGACCACAGAGCTGTTTAAATGCCTATTCCACATTCTTCCGAGAGAATAGCTATTAATATTTGTTACCCACTGTCCACTGACTTTGGTCAGAAGGCCACCCATGGTTTCATCATACATAATAGGAACATGGTTTCTAGAGGCTGAGCTCTGTAGATTTGGGGACATGAAGGGAGTGTTGTTTCCAGAAATGAAAAGTTGTTATGGGCTTGATGAATGTGCCTAATTCCTCTGTATATACTGTGCCCAGAATGAGAATGCTGCCTAGCACCAAGGATGCTGTCAATAATTATTTGTCATTTGAATGGTTACTAACTGAATGCATTGGCAAGGGAATAAAGAACAGTTTGGTCAGATAAATGAAGATTTTGCATTCTGAATATCATGACAGTGAATCTTTGAGTTGATCGCTGTGACAGTTAACTGAAAACTAAAGTTACCTTAATTAAAATCATTTAATTTCTAGCTGTTTTTCTGTATTTGAAAAAATTATTTAAAAATTTAAAAAATTATAAATTTTGAGAAAACATTTGAGTGACTTAATAATACACATATTTATTTTAATGGTGTTTATTTTTCTATTTAAACATTATTTGATGCTCATGAAGACTAAACCTGGAGTAATTCGCCCGGTACCTGTAAAATCCAAAATATTATTGAAAGAAGAGGAGGAAGTCTATGAACCCAACCCTTTCAGTAAATATCTGGAAGATAACAATGACCTCTTTTCTGAACAGGTGAGTAAACATATAAAAAATTCTTTGATATTTTGATAAGTGGCTGTATATCATTTATAGTTATATAAATATAGTATGTGCAAGAAAAATGTCCATTTAATATAATATCCTAAGTAATAAAATAGGTCAATTTTTGCATGATAAAAATAAATTCTTATATGTTTTCAATTTCCAGAATAATATTTTGAAGTATTTCAATGTTGTGCTTTAAATTTTTTTTTCTATTACTTACGATATTATTCAAGACATTACTCTCTATAAAGACATCATAGAAATCACTGGTTGGATGTATCAGATAGGTGTTGTATTCTTATTTCTAAAGTACTATTTTCTTTTGAAGAGATGTACTATATTAGATATGGTTTACTAGTACATTTGAAAAAAGATCTATTGTTCTCATATTAACATAGAAATGATATAATCCCCTAGATTGAGCAATACAAGTTAGAAGATAGGTTATCAAGTTATTTAAGGCTTTGCTGTTCATTCATGTTTTTTTGTCTGTGTATGTGTGTTAAAAAGATATACTGTCATCCTCTAGTATATCCTATATTTTGGAGGAAGGGTAATGGAAGGTTGTCAATAGTGTTTTTTAGTTATTGGGAAAAATGTAAAAATAAACATTTATATAATATAAAACTTCACAAATTAATTCAAAGGTAACTTTAGATATTTATTTGTAAGATTATCACATTGGAAAATCTATAATAAAATAGTCTTATCAATAAGGTTATATACTATTTTTAAGTTTTAGTTTGAAAATGATAACTACCTTGTCCTTGAAAATATAAGTTATATCTATACTTATGAAATGTAAGCCACATATTGACTTTATAACCCTTAACAAGTTGTGTCCTCTCTCTAGGCTGCAGTTTCTTAATGTATAAAATCAAGCATTTGGATCAAGTACTTTAAAGGGTACTTCAAATTCTAAAATTTGGGTTACTTAAAATCTAATATTAACTCTGACTGGATCTGAAGTCCATACATAAACTTGAAAAAGTTCAACATAAATACTTGTTCATGCTCAACTATAATGTTATTTATGAAGCAGGGAAGAAAATACTTTCTGTTTATATCTACTTTGTGACATGATTTTAATAAATTAAAAAAATTAGAAAGTACTCATAATATTGAAAATTATAATTAGAGGAAATTGTATTTAATGGAATACAGTATAGTTCTCAATTTAAATTAAATACAGCTTGTTTTAACTAATTGTACATATGGAAATGGAAATTCCTTTTAAAAAAGCATATTTCCATTATCAACAAAACACTTATTAAATATCTATTGCTTGCATGTCACTACATTTTAGAGATTTAAATAGTATAGAATCATGAGAAAAGGTTTATAAGTAATATATTCTTATATGACAAAAGTGCCAATAGTTAAAAAATAAATTTCACATATGATACATGTAACTTACAGTTATCAAAATATGATCTAATGCTATAATATAAAAATTTTCCTCTTGTATTATAATTTCACATTTATGCATTTTAATTTAAAAAGATTCTTTGGAGAATATCAATTTTTTTAAAATCTTATATTTTTTAAATATATTTTTTATTGATATTTTACGGAGAGGAAGAGAGAGGGATAGAGAGATAGAGAGTTAGAAACATCAATGAGAGAGAATCATCGATCAGCTTCCTCTTGCACACCCCTAATGGGGATATATCCTTAACCGGAATCGAACCTGGGACTTTTCAGTCCACAGGCCGACGCTCTATCCACTGACCCAAAACCGATTTCGGCTATAGAATATCAATTTAATCTACCTATAATTTATCACAATTTGCTGTCCTCTGAAATGATAAATTCTGTTTTCAAGTGTAGGAAATTCTTGCCATTTCTTTGCTTTGCTTTTCCTCACTATGTAGCAAATATAAAGCTCTGTTTATTTTCTTTTTAAAAATATATATTTTATTGATTTTTTACAGAGAGGAAGGGAGAGGGATAGAGAGTTAGGAACATCTATGAGAGAGAATCATCGATTAGCTGCCTCTTGCACACCCCCCACTGGGGATGTGCCCACAACTAAGGTACATGCCCTTGACCGGAATCGAACCTGGGACCTTCCAGTTCGCAGGCCGACGCTCTATGCACTGAGCCAAACCAGTTTCGGCAAAGCTCTGTTTATTTTCAACATAAACCTATGAATTTCCAGATAATTTATTGAAAATTTGAGCTTTTTTGCAAATATTAAGGTGCCAAAGACTAATCTTATTATTACTTCCTTTCAACCAATTTATTCTTGAGTGTATCCCAATTTCTGTGTGGAACATGGGAAGTGATAGGAGTCTGCAGACTGTTGGCACTGAAAGAACTCCAGCATGACACTTAATAGTGAATTCCAAACATTCCCTGGTCTTAGTCGTTGACTATGCATGAGAGAGAAAGTTATGATAGAACCAAGGGGTCACTGCACAGTGAGAAACCCCACATTCTATCAACTTTCTATTGAGCTCCAGCTACCATCTCACTGGGACAAGAATCTACAATGGAGGCAGCTGCCAAAGACAGCTCACTAGGGTAGATGCTTAGTTCTGCTTGCAAACAAATTGAGTGATAACAATTTATAATCTCAGATTGCTACTTTCATCCGAACACTTCAATAGAAGAGAGAGTACTCAAATTCAGTTCTAGTCACTATTGTGTTCTCTGCTGCCACCACAGAGTAAATTGAATGGTTCCAAACTCAGCTGATGTCACCCACCCATGTAATGGAAAATTCTTTAGCCAGAATGTTGGGCCAAATTGAAGCAGCTCACATTCACTAATCTGCCTTGTACTGGGGACAGTTCCACATGACAGATGTTGAATGAGATTGTTAAGTCAATAAATTTCCCCTAGCAGCTTCACTGCCATAAAATATGATTTCAAAATTCTCTGTTGCAAAACATCAGACACTAAAGATGATGAGACCAGACGGAAATGCATTTACTGTCACTTAAGAAGGTACAACTGGGCAACCTTTTGAACTGATAATGAACTGAAATTTTGCCTGGAGACAGCCTCTGTGTACTAAAAGGCAAGTTGGAGACCACATGCAGAATCAAGTAATTGAGACGTATTAATTAACAGCTTTTACATCAAAATGGCATAGGCCAGGAAGCTTCTTTCTGAATTAGATGGATTTTTTTTTGACAAAAGCTCTTCATAATGAAATTTATGCTTATCTGAAATTACCTTTAAACCCATCATTGCATTATTTTGCGGTACTATTGAGTTATAAAATATCTTCACTCTGTACATATGAATTTTAAACTACCAAGTGCTTTGAAGCATAGCTCTATTGATACTACAATCAATTTCACTGATTAAAAGGAAGATTGTAAGGGGCAAAATGGTTTTTATTTTGTCTGACTAGTGAGATTGCAAAATATATCAATTTCTTTCTGGTCTCTTAATGTACCTAATTCGATAAAGGTTGATTTCTTCACTGAAGATACTCAATTTAATATAAAAAATAGTTGCTAACCTCAGTTCTGTAAAATATTCTCTCATTCTTTATAAATTAGTAATTCAACCCAGGATATTACATCTGTCATTTCCTTCTTAAAGCAGTAGGGTAATGTATAAAAAAGGTTTGGCACAGAATTAAAGGGAAATATTGTTGTTTGTATATAAGTTGCTCCTCTTCCCCCCAAAAGGAAAATAATGCTTCCCAGCATGTATGCCTCTTAAACTTTACTTTGCTTCTAACTTGTTTCTCAATAAAGAAGATAACATGTTGATGTGTGAAAATGACCATTTAGCAAATTTCTTCCATATCACTTCACAGAGAACATAAAAGGAAAAATATAGGAAATTTTCTTGTTTTTCTTTTTTTTTTTTTTAAATATATTTTATTGATTTTTTTTTACAGAGAGGAAGAGAGAGAGATAGAGTGTTAGAAACATCCATCAGCTGCCTCTTGCACACCCCCTACTGGAGATGTGCCCGCAACCAAGGTACATGCCATTGACCGGAATTGAACTCAGGACCTTTTAGTCCACAGGCCAACGGTCTATCCACTGAGCCAAACTGGTTTTGACTTGTTTTTCTTTTATTTTTCCTGATTTTTCTTAGCCATAATACTTGCTAATATTCTTTCCAAACTTTCTGTGCTTGACATTAAACTTTGAGGATTGTGTGGGTGATTTTCAGATTTCTAATGATTCATTAAGTTATATTTCTACTATGACCTTCAATTTTACTTCTTTATGTCACCTACATGTTAATATTACAGGGCAAATACTCACTTTTTTTTTTTATAAGGTGAGATTGACAATATTGCTCTTTATTCTGCCACAAATAGCTCCTTTTTCAACATTTGTTTCTCAGTCAAGATGACTCATTGTCTTTTGTCAGGAAATGATATTTTATTAAGAAATATTTTTTCAGATTGAAATGTTTGATTTTTTCTTAGGTCTAGAAATGATTAAGTGGTTTGTTGAATTGTTTTAAGGGGAAGAGAATTGAAATTCCTTGTAGTTTTACATATCTTTTGGAAGAATTAAGGTTAGAGATTTGACTTCTCCAACTTGATTACCATGTTGTTTTTGTTTGTTCAAGTCATGAAATACTTGTGAGTTTTTCTTCTCTTTTGCCATCATACCTCCTTCCCTGCCTCCTTTTCTTCTTCAATATGTAATAGGTAATAGATAATTTACTGTAAACAATATAAAGCAGTAAATGTAATCGATACTTTACCATTATAATAAACTACTTTCTTAGTTTTATATGTATATATTAAAAAACTGCTCTATAGAGACAGTATTTTCTTTTTCTTGTAGAATATAGTCACATAGAATCTCCTCCTGAAACAGAATTTCATCTCTTCCTTTTCCAGACTTTAAGCTTTCTCTTGACCAAAAAACTACTTTTTTTGATCCCCCTTCCATTGCCTCATGTATATTTAAGAATCTTAAAAAGATTATTATTAATACTTGCTTTAAAATGAACATACACACAAAGACCTGTTTTACACTTCTATCATAATAAGTAGAATT